CCGCACGGCGGGTGCTGAGTTCACCGCACATTTTGGGGGGGGGGGGGGGAATCTTGCTGTGTATTGTAAGATTGTTTCAGCTTTGCTGTTTTACAAAAGTGAAAGTATTCCTTTTGTGTTGTAGAAACAGTCATGTTATTGGAGGAGTGTTTTATATTGATCTTGGCTCGTGTCTAAAGTTACAAAAAGTGGTAGACCTTGCATAACTATTAAAAGCAGGAAATCTCTTGGGTTTGTGTTTTATGGAATGGCACAATTTTTATTTGGAAAGTGAATGCATTACTTAAAGAATGAACACGCATTTGCAGCAAGAGTATTCTGTAGCTTTTTTAATGTTGCTATTAATTTAGTTGACCATTATTAAAATCTGTAGTAAATTTTATTTTTGTTTGGGGGGGGGGGGAAGATAACCAGCTCTGTTTACACAGAGAAGATGCTCAAACTGTAAAGGACAGGTTTTATTTTTAATCTGTATCACTTGATAACAAATCAAAACTACTTTAGGAAGCGTGGATAAGAACTGGCACTCAGTGGGAAGTCTGGTGTTCAGAATTGCTGCTTTGTGCTTAGAACTGCTGAACCACTTGAGCGTGCCCTGTTAGAGTCTTTAAACAATTAGTGGAGTAAGAGTAAATCATGGTTTAAAAATAAAGTCTAGCTGCCTTTTGACTCTAGGATCATATATATCATTGAAACTGTGAAAATAGTGTTAAAGTTCAGTGCTAGGTTGAATTTCACAGCACTAATGAATTGCTGTTTCTGATTACAATAAGCTCTGTGTGATGGTGAATAGGTCTTTTTCAAAGGAGTTCTCTTAAGCCCTTTTTATAGATGGACAGTAGCTAGAATATGAAATTAAGACACTAACACTGAAATGCTGAAATGAGGTTTAAAAAAATAAAAAATAGCTAGATGAATTTCGGTGTTGTAGTGTGACAGCCTCCCATCCCCTGCTTAATTCCTTCATCGCATGAGTAATGGAGAGACTGAATCAGTAAAATGTTTGCTAAACAGTGCCATGTAGCTATATGGTGGAGTTGGCTTTTAATGTAGAATTTCAACCTGAAGAAACTTTACTCTTTTAGCAAAACTAACAGTCCCCCCAAAGCAGTTTTTTTGTGTTGAGTTTAAATATTGTTTCCTATGTATGCACTTTGAGACTGTCTAATTATAAACATAATTGTAAACACGTTATTACCTTTTCTGATCATAAATGTGATCTATTTCTGAAAGTACCGCCTGGAAGACCAAGAAGCAAGGTCAGGGAAAAAAAAAGGATTTCATAAGCTGTCAAATATAATTCCATATTCTGATTTAAGTGAGAAAAATGATCTAAAGCAGGCATAATAATATTTTCTGAAAAACAGTTTTATAGATATAGATGTTACTGAAAAATTGAAACTCAAAAGGTTGGCTATGAATTGCTTGCTCGTACATAGTGTATGCTTATTTGTTACGCATTTTGTGTTAGATCTAATGTTCTGTCTCTAAATTCTAGTCCTCCTAATTTAAAAAATAAAATATGATGCTCATTTTTAATTCAGCTCCAGTCATGGAAGGACGAATTTTTCAGAAATGTTACAGAAACCTGCTAAAATACGCATTCTTCAGAGCAACCTTCAATTTTTGGGTTAATTTTAGTTGCGCAAATGGATTCATGTTAAGAGATTTTAAGTGTATTAAAACTGCTTAAGCATCACCTTTAAAAATCAGAGCTAACTGCAATTTGAAGGCAGCTGAGATGCATAATTCAGTTGTAAAAAAACAAACAAAAAACCCAATTCACATGATGTGCTACAGGAAACAGTGTTTCCTTAAAATGCGCCATTAATGTAGATGACTCTTGTTTCTTGTGTGATATTCTTTTCCCCCCTGCGCCCCAGAAGGGTGATCCTCCTACTCTTTATAACTTTAATAAGGGAAGATTTTCTTGAGAGTTTTCATTTCACCTTTAGTTGCTCTGGTTCTGTCCTTCCAGATATCCAAACACAGCCTGTGAACTGCTGACCTCGGATGTGCCGCAGATCAATGACAAGCTAGGGGGGGATGAAACTCTGCTGAATATCCTCTATGACTTCTTGGATCACGAGCCTCCTTTGAACCCTTTGCTTGCCAGTTTCTTCAGTAAGACTATTGGGAATCTCATTGCAAGAAAAACGGAACAGGTAGCAATTAGATTTGTCCTGATATGTAAGCACAAATTAATTCACTAACGTTGTTTGTGTTGTATGGCAGTATCATTGCTACCCTCATGATCTCCTGTTCTTAGAGTTGAAAAATAGCTTGCTGTGCTCTTTAAGTTTGGAATTGAAATGTAGGCTTTGAAAAGTTCTTCGGATTGCTCAATTGAGAGAGATGCTGGCTCATTTAGATACCTTTGTATAGTTTTGGGTTTAGATCTGTAGTAGCTGGGATATTCCTGCGTTACAGTTAAAGCTTTATTTTTCATACTAAAGCATATTGATGCATCCTTTGATCATTGCCCAGAATCATCTCATTATATAAACAATGCCTCAGTCTCATGCCTGTAAAAGGGGTGCTGGAAACATGAGCTGAACAGTGCTTTAGGAATACATGCGTTCCAATTCAAAATTGATTTTTTTTAAACGAAGGCTGTCAGAGAGCCTTAGTGGAATGGAAAATTCTCCAGCTTCACCAGCTTCTTGATGCTCTTATTTCTGTGGGCTTTGGTTTCTTTGTGGCATAGAGGAAAGAAAAGATAGCTAAACAGATTTGATTAGTATTGTCTTGAAATGAGAATGATGTTCTCTCATTCTCTGGACAATTTCTCGAACCTAGTAGCCGTTTTGCATCAAGATTGGTTGGTTGAGACAAGGTGAAGTATGGGAACTTCTGTGTGCCATGTCTGTATGTTGTACTAGCAACTGATGATGACACTTTTATTTTTAGGTGATTGCATTTTTAAGGAAAAAAGACAAATTTATTAGCCTGGTGCTAAAGCATATAGATACATCAGCAATGATGGACCTCCTGCTTCGTCTAATCAGCTGTGTGGAGCCTGCAACTCTACGGCAAGAAGTACTGAATGTGAGAATCTACTATTTTTTTTCTTTACAAGATTGGGAACAAGGGGGTTTGTTTGTTTGTGTCTTAAAGAAATAGAATTCTTTTTGTCATTTATTATGAGAGTGGATCCACTCTTCTGAAAACTGTTTTTCTTGGTGCTAGAGTCTACACGTTGGTTACTTTGGGTACTTCAGCCTGTTTGTGGCTTGCATGACAGAAGCCTAGTTCAGTCCCTGGCAGTAAAGGATTTTCAACTCATTTTTCCATATAGCAACCACTATTTACTCTAGCTGTTTTTGCTGTAGAGCTTTGACAAAGGAAATTTGTAATCTTTCCCAGTGTTCAGAGTTTTAGACTGATTGTTTGGGACAGTAATTTGTTTAATTCCTCACCATGTTCAGTGGTGTGTGTGATTTTTTTGGTAGATGGTATCTTGTGTCTCCTCCCTCCCCTTCCTCTTTAATAGGCAGCCTTATAAAATATCTTATTGAGATACTTAGTTTGCTTTACAGGTGGGACAAGTTTTTCTCCCTTCATAGCCCGGTCTGGGTGAGGCTGCCTCATCCCCCCTTTAGTGGGCAGATGTACAGGATTAGAGGAGAAAAAAACCCTCCTTTGGCTCCCTCTCAGTAAACCAGAAGAGCAGTGTGCCATATGGAAAACTGTATACGAGTCACTGAAGCCCACACCAGATTTTATATGTTTGGCAAACTTTGCTGCCTAAGTATTCTGTGTCTGGAGCATTGACCACACCATAGCTTAGCAGGTAAACGTTCTCTGCAGAGACTCAGGAAGGATAATTACCATTGCTTGATTCCTCCTCTCAGCCTTACGGTGCATCATGCAGTACACATACTGTTCAGAGAAGGAAGAAAATACAGGCACACATCGATCCTTACAGACTTGTATGGGCATTCACCCATGAAAGGAAGTCCTCATTTTTGACAGGAAAGTCAGCAGTGCAATTGGTTAGACATCAAATAGTAATACCAAGGAAGAAGATGGGAGGAAAAAGCCTTCAAGAGATGGACTAATGGAGGATAATGATGATGGAGGATTCACTGGAAGAGAAAGCAGCTTTGTAGAAAAGGTCCAACCACATCCCAGGCCATGATGGCCCAAGGGCAGCTGGAGGGGTGAGGGCAGGGATTGCTCCTTTCTGCTGAGCACTGGTGAGACCTCTCAAGATACTGGGGCCAGTCTGGGGCTCACCAGTGCAGGACAGACATTGCAATAGTGCAGTGTAATATTACCAAGATAAATGCAATTATTTTCTTCTTCCAATGTTAAAATGAGTAGTGTTTTTCCTGGATGGATGGCTTCCATCCAGGAAACTTCCAAATATCCAGGTTTCCAAATATCAACCGTCCATAAACACGCAGATCTGGATGGGATATATTTTAACCCCATCCTATCAGGTTAATTCTACCCCTTAAAGATTTCACACAGTCAGAAAAAATGAAAACAAAGTGAAGATACCAAGGGGCACTGGAGGTGCACTTGAAAGTTGGTTTTTGTTTTTGTTTTTTTTTTTACAAATAGTCTTAATGTAATTATTATCCCCAAGCATTTAAAAATCCAATGGCTTAAGAACTTCTCAGAAAAACAGAAAGTAGTAGCAATATTGAAATTTGGGATTGAATGTTTAGAGAAGCTACTTATCAGCAGTTTTGGCAATATATTCAGAAACTTAGGTCTCCAGAAAAGTTAATTTTCAAGCTTGATTTTTGGTAGGTATTAGAAATAAAAGTTATACTTCATGGACTGCTTTAGCTTTTCATCACTTCAGGAAAAAAAATACTGTCTGTCAGCTGGTAGCTAGAACAGTTGCGAATTGTCTGATGTCTCAAAGCAGTCTTCACATTTGTTTGGGATGCTGGACACCTCAGATATCAGTCTGGTTTGAGTTTTAGCAAGAGGAAAAGTATTAATTTTTCAGGAACTTGTACAGCTGCAATTGGCTGATCTTCCCAGGGGCTCACTCCTGCTTAGCCACTCTTCTCCCACTCCTAACTGCTGAAATTCAGGAGAACATGGTCTGTCAAGCAGTGTATTGGATGGTAACCATAAGGCCACGCGCCCCTTATCAAACAGCACAGCGGCGTCCATCTATCTTGTGATCTGGATCTGAGCTGCACTTTTTCATTTGTGTGCATTTAATTAACTACTTACATATTGTGTCATAAATTCCTGTGTGTTGTCGTCATCTGTTAAACAGTTTCCAGCTGACTGATTGATCTGTATGTTGAACCTGCATTCAAATGTCATTCACTGACAGTACTGTATGTCTTTAAATGCTACGTTTAGGGTTTTTTTCCCTATGTGCACATCTTTCTCCATGCAGTAGCTAGTGTTTTGGATAGACATCCTGTGCCATAGATTTTTGGCTAGCTGTTCATCAACTACTTTTGTAGCACAGTGACAGCAATTAAACTTAGTATTTTAAGGTTTCCCTGGTATTGATATACCCTGCTCCTGGATGGTATCTAAGGAGGTCTAACATTACATCAGGGTCTCCAGGTTACATTCCAGCTATTTCTCAAGTACAATGTGAATGTCATCTGAACAACAAAATGCCTTCTGTATTGTGTTTGTGTGACTTAGCAAAAGCTGAAAGCTTTGCTGTCCAAGTAAAGTTTGAGAAGCACCATTTTTCACTAGAAAGTGCTGCCATTGAGAGTACATCACTTAGGGGTGTGAAAAGACTACTTTTCCACTTGACATTGCTATGCTGGCAAAATCCTGTGAACTTTACTTGGTTTGTTATATATTTCTTGCTGTCTGAAAAGGTAGAGTTTTACAGTGTCAGATTTATGAAGATGGCATCTTAAGTTTTAAGTTAAACAAAATCATATTCTGCATAACAAGTCCTAAAGCACCTCTTCTTAGGGATTTGATGTCCACATTGTTGCTTTGATTCAGTAAGTTAGAGACTCCCTGATAATTGCACAAGAGTAATTCTCTGGCCTTCCATTTTAGAGATCCTTAGACTGTGATAGCTGGATGGTGCTGGTGGCTCCGTTCTCTGCTCTGTTTTCTACTGAATGGGCCTTCTAAAGCGTGTGCTTGAAGTTTCCTTGTCTACTGCTTGCTCAGATGATGTTAGCCAGGGTGCAGGTTCTTACTGTCCAAGTGCAAGCATTTGACTTGGAGCGCCGAGCGAAGCTGGGCCAGTGACTCCACCAGCGCTGTACGTTGACATTGCCACAGAAACAGGCAGTCCTGCTTTCACCTTCTTAACTGCTTGCTCTGTCCATCTGGCTCCTCTTGAATCTTTGCCAGCTGAAGTGTTCGTGTGGTTGTAAGGTGACATGGACTAGGGAATTGATCCAACTGAAAACACCTCGCTTTCGTTTGTATTTTTTGCCAGGATTGTTTTCAGCCTGCTCAGTTCCTTGGTTTGGGTTGGCTTTTTGTTTTGCATGGACTTGTGCAATGGTAAGGGAGGAGAAAGGACCAGAAGATAAGTGGATGAGTATGAGCAGAGAGAAGGTGGCAGTGCCATTTTATATGTTCTTAAACTATTTGTAGAACTACAGTTTGTGGTGGTTTTCCCCTTTCTCTTCCTTGATCTGTAATTGAAGGCATACAGTTAACATGAAAATACAATAATTCCTTATGCATTTCCTTCTGTTCATGCATGACAGAGGAATGCTTTGTTCATGTAGCTCAGATTTTGTTATTTTGGAGAGCTGTGCTAACAGGAAAAAACTTTGCTAGCACATGCTGTTCCTCCATACTTCTGTCCTGAGTTTGACAGAAGCACCACTGTACAAGGAAGCCTCCAAATTCAGCAGCCTGGGGGTGGGTGCAATGTAAATGAAATAAACTGTTGTGTACATTGAATCTTTACAGCTCTGTCTCCTCCCTGTTTCTGGACTGTGACAATTGGAAATACTAGAATAGTCTTCCTGAGAAACCTCTGAGGAGGTCCTTCCAGCCTGCTTGTCTTTCAGGCACCTACGTTTTGATATCCTTGGACAAATCTGGCATTGTGCAGATGGATGACAGCATATTCTCTTTGATCGGTGTCATTTGATCCTGGAACGTCTCTGTGGATTTGTGAAAGAAATAATATTGACTTTAAATAATTTACTTCTTGTGCAGCAAGAAAGTTCAGATATGGGTTGCTTCTTGAAGCATTTTTAATATCAGGACAGATAAGTGACATCAAAGAAGTCTGTCCTCTGTCTGTGTGTTATTAGTATAAAATCTTACATAGAAAAAAGCAAAGAGGCACAACTGCTGTGAGAAGATTCCACGTCTGATTTTGCTGGCATGTACTGTGAATTTATGTGAAGCAGATCCAGTTATTGTAGATATCTCTTCTGTACTTCATCTTCTCATGCTTGCCTTAGTGACAGAAAGTACAGCCTCTGTTGTATAATCTTCGTGGAGAAGAATTAGCCTGTGTTCCTGATTCAGGTCTGGAGGAGAGAACCTGCTATGGCTCAGCTGAAGCACAGCGTGTCACCGGGATCTCATGACAAACCCCACCTTTGTGCTGCAGAGTGGGTTACACCATTCAACATACCTGACATGGTTTCCTTGGTAATTGGGAGAATGTGATCCCTGTGATTCTGAAGAGAAATCTGCTTCTCCTGGTGAAGAGTGCCCAGGCGTGGACCATGGCTTGCCAGTGACTTCTGTAGAAACCCCTCGTGAGCTCTGTACCACTGTGGTTGAACTGGTGCTCCAGTTTTCACCTCTTGTAGCCAGGGTATCGTGTAGCCTTTTTGTCAGAGTCTACCATGGGTAGTGATCACAGCACGGAACTTCTCCCCCACCCCCCGCACGTTGTCCTGCTTTTTTCTGTTGCTTTCACAGGTAACAAACTACAAGAATAAAAAGGGCATATTCTTCATGCCATCTTTACCCTAAAGAAACAGTAGCTCCCAGGGCTAGACTAGACTAATGCAGATATCTTTCTCTTGTAATAAAAATTGTCCTACTGCAAGATCAGTCCTCAGTGGAGGAAAGCTTACTGTGAGTACTTCAGTGAAGTGACTATTCACATTGTG